TTTACTCGTCTTGTACAACAACAACAGTATTTCAATTAATTAACTATTGGATAGCTATTAAAATTATGAATCTCGCAATTGCATGCAAATAGGTTATTGATTGTTCTGTTGAGACGGAAGGCTGGAGATTCTTACACGTCTTTACACGCTCTTACTCTCTCGCTACTTGCCATCATTTAGCAGCGTGACATCTCCAGCGGCTCTTGTAGAAATCGATCGTACCAACACACCATCGACGGTCGGTAAATACGATGTCTCGACTTTACGACCGTTGTAAACGTCGCGCAGCACCGATTTTACGGTTAGATAGTTATCGTCTTTACCGACAGCCAGTCAACATTACCAGCAGTGGCTTGTACGATGTTGCTCGTGCCTCTGTCGTGTCTGTCGTGTCAGTCGTGTCGGTTGTATCTGTCGTGTTGGCTAAAGTTGGCGGCGTCGCGTAATTCGAATCACGGCACCGCCGAAAAGCTTAAATCATGAAAACGTCCGATCGTCTCTCGGTCGATCGGATACAAACACGGCGGCGGGGAAAGAAGATGAGCTGGCGACGACATTGCTGTCGTTACGTAACCAGCCGTATATCTAGTTCGTAATGGGAATGAGGCGGAGGGGGGCTCGAAGCGGAGAGACAGAGAGTGAGTGAGAGAGAGAGAGAGAGAGAGAGAGAGAGAGAGAGAAAGTGACGAGACGAAAACGTGCGCGCTAATGATACCGACGGAGAAGTCTGCGGCGATACCCCCGTTAAAATGACAACGATGACGACTACACGACTACGACGAGGCGGAAGAGAAGGAGGAAAAAAAAGGCGCACGCGCTCTTCAAGCATAATTAAGATGAAAATAGAGCGACATGAATTAAATTCCATTAGCCCCTAGAGAGAAAGAGATGATGAGAGCCGTGCGTGCGTGCTCGCAAACGCTCTTTTTAATTCATTCTTTGTCCCTTACTTTTTTCTCTTCTCTCTCATAGCGCGCAACAAGCGTTTCACAGCGGATTCTATTAGTCCTAAATTTATTACGATAAAGACTGGTTGCTTAGAGCAGCGGCGGACGCGTCATTTCATTCGGTGACGATGCGCTGCGTTTTTTCTCTTGGCGGGTAATATGGGCCGAGCGGGGGTGCACGCTTTACTAAACAAACTTAAACAGTGATTTTAAATAAAACAGAGCTCTAAGGTACGGAATTTTATGTAATTGTTGTCTTTGTAATTCAAGGTACGCCGCAGTTGGCTAGAAAAATTTCACAATTGGGAGTAAGCAGAGTTTCGGTAATCGAGGGCCAAGAGGTTCTCGAGCGCACCGTTTCCAAGCAAATTGGACGAGCGACATCGCGATCGAGCGGAGCTGTTTATGATTCACCACCCCCCCCAATCCCCCTCCCCCTCCCCCGTGCCTCATCGCGGCTAATTTCACGCTAGAATAAAGAGGTAAGGCGGCGCACGCGGCCGAGCTCGCAAAGTTTCACAAACGACAAAGCAGCCGCGCGAATCGCAGTCGCCGCGTTATTCGACTTCTACGAATTGCAATTCCAACCTCCTCGTCTAACGCGCAATATTTTCCTCCGTTTACTGGCCTCTCGTCGCTTTTCCTCCCTCCTCCCCATCCCGGCTCCGTGAACAGGCATCAATTTGGATTATTCGACGCGACCTGCGTGGAAGGAGACTGTAAAATTCAATCGACCGCGCACTTTTCCGTCTTTAAATTTAGCTCCGTAAGCCACGCGCGCACGACTGTAATTAATTGTAATCTGCAATTTCAATGTTTAACGAATGTTGTTACTACTGCTGTTGCTGCTGTTGCTGCCTCCACCGCCACCGCCACCACCGCCGCCATCGCCCAACCTCCCCCTCCGCCTACTTTATTACCGCTATTTAAACAAGTCGGTGAAGACTCGAGTGACGCAAGCCGATGTAGCGAAGCTAAGCGAAGATAAAATTAAACGCCAAGAGTCGTTTTAACGATCTCGATCCACATTTGCCACGTGATCGCGATATATAAAAATTATTTCGTTCTTTTAAAGGAAGCGCAATAGAGGCGTAAGCGACTCTTGTCGTTTGCCGAATGAGCGTCGCTTGTCGCGCGCATTCGTTTGTTTATTTTTCTTCTTGTTTGCGCGGCCGTAAACCGCCGAGAGATCGTCGATTATGAAAAGGCACATTCAACAAAGACGTTGCTTAATAATGTTCGCTCTCGCATCTCCGAGACGAAACGAGAGGAAAGGAGAGAAAAAGGAGAGAAAAGGAGAGGAAAGGAGAGGAAAGGAGACGAAACGAGTCATCGATAGAAGATTTCCACTGCGGGGGAGAGATTTTACACGCGTTTTTGCGAGTGGCGCCCGCTTGGATTTGGGGTCGTCGACTCGGCGTGGATTTTTTTAAGTGGAAAGGAAAAAGAAATAAAAAAAAAAAGAAAAAAAAAAAAAAGAAGAAGAAAAAACATAAATAAAATAAAATAAAAGTAAACTCGATGTTGGAGGACGAATAGAGAGCTTTTACACTTTTGTTCCGACTCCGTGAACAGTATCGACGACGAGCTACTTTAAATGCTTTCTACTCCCTCCCTCTCTCACACTCTTTATCTCCTTCGCCTTCCTTCCTCATTGCGTATACGCCTCGATAAGCTTCCGGCTCGTTGGCCAGCTCGATGCCAGCGGTACTGGACGCTTCGATTTAATTGAGCATATCTGCAACTTTTCTCTTCGTATCCAACTAAATCCAACGATGCATCCAAAGATGCACGTCGTAAGGCTCTGACTAGCAGCAACCATAAATAAATAAGCCAACCATTCCCGCTCTGACCATGAGCGTGCGTATCTGCGATCGGGAATATTCGTCGGAATCGAGTATGGCAGCAGACGCATCGAAATGCTCGTAAAAATACCTTGGGAGAGTTTGACCGTCAGTTCACCGGTCAGGGTGGCCAAGGACTTGCGGCCCCGTGGGAAATGTTGTTGGGCAAAAAGTGTCGCTTTGCTCGCGCCTCGAAGGGAAATCTCGCAAAACTGGGGAATATATATCACGACGGTCTTGGTCGACACACAAACCTCACCCCGACACTACGACGAGCACCGTGGAGTGGCCGTGGGGTGGGCAGGGGAGTAGGAGGTGAGGGTAGGAGGTGTAGAGTCTTTTTAAAATTCGAAAGAGACGAGCTCGTCAAAAGTTGTTGGTTGGCTTCGCTATGGGGTAGTGGACTTTTGTGTAGTGGTACGTCGACAAGAGTTGGTTCGTCAAGGAGAGAACGGGGCGAGCGATCGAGGCGTATCGTATTCGCGGCGCCAGGCTGTTCTCAATATAAAGATAAAATCTTGCGGGATTAGTGGCGATAAGACGAAGATTGGAAAGCTCAGCTTATAGGCAATTAAAACTTCGGCACCTAATAATACAAATCGCTATCGAGGCTCGAAAGAGGCTCGAAAGTGGCTGGGCCTGTTGGTAAATGTGAAGGTCCCGTATTAATAAGATAACGCATGCGTCCGGTCCGTCCATGCATCGGAGTGTCTTTTCAACAGACATCGTAAACCATCGTAAACCATCGTAAACCATTGGAAGTTTTTGCCTCGAGAGTATCGGAGCATCGTCATTGTACATCGTCTCAGCATCTTCGATGCATCACTCCAACGCGTTTCGTAATCGTTGTCATCGTCTGTCTTGACTTACTCGCGTATTTTTGCTATTCGATCGTTGGCACGACATGAGGGGGGATGATGGGAGAAGGGCAGAGAGAGGGTGCGCCGTGGTAGCCGACGAAATCTAAGCTGACGCGCCTGGTAATTCGGAAACGTCGGCGGGCGATTGCCAAGTTTCGAAAACGCAATTAGACCGCGACGTCTGCGCGGCGCAGATGCGAGAGATGAAAGCCACGCGATTGGCTCCGATGATGCAGAGAGAGAGAGAGAGAGAGAGAGAGAGAGAGAGAGAGAGA